CCCCCCCCCCCGCCATCTGCCCCCAAAGCACTTACTGTCAGTAACCCCAAGATGCTGAGGCTGCTGCCACCACTACAGCTGCTGCTGCATTTCTGAGCTGGGGGTGGAGCTATCCTGTGCTCCATGCCCAGGTCAGAAAGGGCCAGAGCAATAACTGAGTGCTAGGTGGAAGTGTGGGTGGCGACTGCTATGCCTCCGATCATATGTCAGGGCCAGAGTTGATGCCAAAGCAGGTGCCAGCCCGCCTCCTTTGCCTTGTACTAGATTCCAAGACAAGTGGCTTTTTCCCACATGCTGAATGGGGGGAAGTCTCATCTTGGATTTGAGTAAATATGGTATAAAATATAAAAGAATGAGGACATGGGATATTTTTCTCTTTACGGTTAAACTCAGGTTTTAAAAAATGGGATGAAATAATGCAAAAGCAACTGGGGGAGGGGTTGTCAAGTTAACACTTTTACTCAAAGTAAAAAACAAAAAGGCATTGAAATAAAAGGCAGAATTTTAGTTTTATGGATCCATGGAATTTTTTGCTATTCACTTCACTTGGATTTCACTCAATGTAAAAGTTTTATATAGGAGTTGAGGTAGACAAGGTTCTTTGGGTAAATCTGATATTTTTTATTAAACCAGCTCAAATAGTTGGAAAAATTCTAGTTGAGAATTTTTCCAACTACAGTAAGATCTCCATTATCCGGCATGAGTGGGGAATGCCAGATGCCGGTATTGTAAAAATGCCAGTCATCTAAAAATACCGGAGCCAGAGCAGAGGGCTTGCACACGGCGATGTGGAGTGGTGGATGGCACTGGCACGGGAAGATTGCATGAGACTTGCACACAGCGGTGGTGCGGGGTGGTAGATGGCATGGCAGCAGCATAGGGTGGTTACACGCAGCAGTGGCAGTGCGGAGTAGTGGATGGTGGCAGCACAGTGGCGTGGTGCCGGTTAATAGGTTTGTTTTGGTATGCTGGCTAGTAGAATGCCAGAAAACAGGGATTTTACTGTATTTGAGTTGGTCTAATAAAAGATATCACATTTACCCAAAGAGCCTTGTCTGCCTGTGTCCTTAGACTAACACATCTATAATCTATACCTATATAGGAGTTGATGATTTTTCTAAGTAACTGGAAAAACAAAACATTTCTAAACAGAATGATGTAAAATGGCCAATTAAAGACTGTGTTCAAAAGAAACTTGTGAAACAAGTTTGGGAGTAGTAGCATAATGTAAAATACCCCAGTTACAAGGTGGGCTAACTGAACAATTTTTTTTTAAAGTTTGGATATAGACGTGAAAGAAGATTTCAGGATTTTTGCTTAAAAACAGTGTCCATAAGAAAACATAATAAATGCAAAAGAAAATTCCGGTAAGTTAAGAACAGAATAGACAAATCCTTACGTTTCAGCTGCATGTATCCCTTTTTTGATGGTCATCAAGAAATTTCTATGGCAGAAAATGTTATATACATACAATAATATATATTTTTCCTGTCATGGAAACTGTATTTTTCTTTCATAGAAATACACACACATGCATATATATAAAATACAATATAGGACTACATTCCCAGTTGATATAAATTGTGTCACAGTCCCCAAATCTAGTATACTGAAGGCCTCCTTACCTCTTCACAGCAACGTCTGCTTACAATAGCCCTGTAGTCAATTCTATTCCAGAGTTGGTCTCTTAACTTTAAGAAATCAGGAAAGAGCTTTCTCCAAGTTTTTCCTAAAGCCCATGGAAAAATTTCATACTTAGACTCTTCATCATCTTCCTCAACAGTATTAGCCAGATACCTACACAAATATGAATATTAAGAATCTTGAAATTTCAGTCATCATATTTGTATGACTTCAGCTATGTACCTTTAAACCTGTCACACATTTCCTTGCTTCCATTAATCTGTGGACATTTTCTACCAAAATTACCTTTCTGCTAGGATGAATTACCTAGTTTTGATTTTTGAAATAGCCTTTTTTATCTCTGAGGCAAAGATCTCTGTCCAGATGAGCACAGACATGTGGTATGTGGTGCCACAGATCTGTCTGCAGTGCTACACACCACACATGCAGCTGTTCCCCATGCTGCTACCTTGTAGCACGGGGGTGGTTGACCCCAGGAAATCCTAGGGTCGAAAAAGCCCATGCCGAAAAAAAGGGCTGTGCACATGGTGGCAGTGCGCACAGCTCAAAACTGGAGCCGGGGCTGGCTGGAGCCTTGCTCCAGAATCTGACCAGGCTCCAAGTGACTGGATTGCCACTGCTGCAGCCCCAGGAGGACCTCAGGACCCTAAATGAGGCTTCTGGGGCCAGCACGGTGCTCACCCCAGGCTCCCCTACCCCACCTGGGGTAGCTTGCCGCATGCCAGAGCACTCATGGCACAGGCATTCCCTGGGGACAAGTAGCAACACAAGGTGCAATGACACAAAAAATCATGGACTAAATATAGACATTGGATTTATGGCACATTATAACTTGCCGGCCATCCGATAACCACAGGTAACCTCTACATTTAACTAGCTACATTCTGGTACCAAGTCAACATTCCCCTCTTCTACTCCCACACGTACTGGTCTCACACCTATTGTTTCCTATTCCCTCTGATCCTCACTGCCACATATGTGCATTTTCACAGACATGAATTTTGCATATTGGCTTCTATTCCACCATGGAGAACGCATAACACTAGCACACTCTCCCTATGCCTGAAGAAGGGTGTTTGTGGCCAAAAGCTTGCAAATAACAATTTTCCTCCCTATTTAGTTGGTCTAATAAAAGATATCACATTTACCCAAAGAACCTTGTTTGCCTATGTCCTTAGACCAACACAGCTACAACCAGCAGCCACAGAATTTAAGATGCATGCAATAGTAAATTCATAACAAATTGGATATAAACTTGTTTGCAAGTAGTTTTAGTAATCTGTACACACAAACTACATGAAAGCCATTATTAATATCACAAAGTCTAATACTTAAAAGTTACAAAGTGCCTGAACTGAGGTTAACAGAGCCATAATTCACTCCCCTTGTATGCATACATTATGTTACAGTATTTATTCTATGAGCACAAATTATTTTTCCAGAGAATTCCTGCCTCTGAGAGCCAGAGTGGCTCATCACTGTTTATCTTAATTTTCTTCTCATTGATCAGTGATTGATCTTCCCTTATTTACTGCAAAGTATTTCAATTCTGCTTTGAAGACAGAATTTTAAATTTCCTTGTGGGTTTTTTCCATGGAGCTTCTTACTGCTCATCCAAATGCTTCACAAATACAAAGTTCATAAAGCCTGTGTCAGTTGAATGCATGATGAAGGCATAGAAAGATTAAGGTAAAAAGTACCAACTACTCTTGTATGCCCAATTTGAGATACCTAGGAACTTCTTTTTCAGAGTAGTTAGTATTATATAGCACTTTGTACATTAAGTACAGTATCCATTGACTTCCTCTGCACTTATGAGTGCTCTGTCCTTCTGCAAAGCAGTCTCTGTGGTCTCCAGGGACTGAGAAACACAATTCATGAATATCATACACAAAATCTGACAGAAGCAGCAATCGAATTCATCTTTTCAGAACAGCAATCAACTGTTAAACATTAAGACTTTTCTTCTCTTCCTGCAATCCCTTGCTTCACTCACTATACACCTTCTACCTCTTGCAACAAAAAGGCAGGTGTGCTGTAGTCTCTTCTACATTGGTTTGTCCCCAGAGCATGCACATCTGGTGCAACAAATTAGGTAAAGATCCTGGGGAAAAATAACATGGGATTGCGCATTTAGAGACTGTATCAGTACTTGCACAACATAGGAGGCCAATCTAAGGCTCCAAAGGTAGTATTAATTCTAACATTTATGGATCTCTGTTTGAATTTGAAGCCCTAATATTGTTATTTAAGGTACATTTGTGTATATAAGTTCCTAGGTTTTTAAAAAAGCAAACTGAAAATATAAATTCCATCATGTGATATCATATTGATACCCATATGGTTCATCAGCTGACTTAGGTCCAGCCCACAGAATTGTGTTGCTTGAGCTTGAAAGGGACATAGTTCACTAAGACTTTTTGTCACTGCTGCATTTTGTATTTTTGTGCCTAAAAATTATATTTGTGTACACCTAGGTGGAACTAAAAAAGGAAGTTATGCATTCCAGGTCTCCATATGTATTCTCTGGATAGGTGAGGGATTGCAAACACTCTGAAGAATGCAATCAAAAATCAAAAGGATCTTGATAAACTGGAGAACTAGCCACTAGATAACAGAGTGAAAGTCAACAAAGATAAATGCAAGATTCTACACCTAGGAAAGAAAAATCAAATGCATAAATACAGAGTGGGTGGTGATTGGTAAGGCAGTAACATTGCTAAGAAGAATCTGGAATTGCTGGTGGATCACAAACTCACCATAAGCCAGCAATCTGATGTGGTCAGCTAAAAAAAGGAAACTCAGTTTGGGTCTGCATGAGACATAAGATATAGGAGGTGATAATACCACTCTACTCAGTGCTGATTAGGCCTTAGTTAGAGTAGTGTGTGCAGTTCTGGGTTCTGTAACTTAAAAACAATGTGAAAAAACTGGAGAGGAACCAGAGTTAATCAAAAAGACAATAAAGGGATAAATGCTAGCCCTACAAGGAAAGGGTGAGAGAACTAAGAACATTTAATTTGGTAAAAAGGAGATTAAGGGGAACAAATATTTGAAAAGCTACTTAGAAGAGGGAACATAAATTGTCTCTTGCCACAGAGGGCAGGCTGTGAAACAATGGACTTCAACTGTAGCAAAGAGGATTTAGCCTAAATCTCTAAATAAATAAATACACCCTTCCTTACTGTCAGAGCAAGAGGGCAGTAGAGCAAGCTGCCAAGGGAAGTTGTGGCATCTTTCTCTTTCAAAGTTTTCAAGAAGTATAGGAATAGCATATCATGCATTGTGTAGTGGGTTGAACTAGATGACCCTTGAGGTCCCTGTGATTCTAAACCTTGAATGGTGACCCTTGAGCATATTTTGGTTGACATTCACAGCATCCAGCATGCTATTCAAGGGGATGCATAGTATAGCCAATAGGAGTATGGAAGAGGTGAGCTTGTCTGGGTTCCTGTCCTCTCATGGAATTAGGCAACATTTATACAGACCCTGCAGCTCAGATCAGTGTTGCTTATAGGTTGGGATTCAGTGATATAAGCCCCTATATAGGCACAGGCACATACATTTACTCATCACTGAAGTGGGCATAAGCCTAAATTCTCTCATTTTCTCAACAGTTTACATGCCACCAGCACTTAAAGCAAGGCAATCTCAACACTCAGCTCTCCTTTTTCTGACTGAGGATTGTTGAAAGCATTTTAATAGCTTTTCTGTGGTTGCATTTTACTCATTTTGCACAACTGTCATGTATTTAGCCCTTGTTGTCATGCTGCACACCCTTTAGAGAATCTCTCATCCTAGTTTAACATGTAAAAGGGATAGGCGGTCATATACTGTTATATATTAGATATATAGAAATTCATATTTTCAAAGGAAAACTGTGCAGTGTAAATGATTGAGAAGTGGGACACATTTTCATTGCATTACTCATAGTAGCTACTGAAATTCTCTATCCTTTTTTGTTTCAATAATACCCAAAATTTCTCTGATCTGCTCAGTCTCTCTCAAAATGCTAGAACACATTTTCAGATGATTCCCACACACTGCTAGCTTTGGGCATATGTGCAACTATCCTGGGCTGACTGATTCCACAGCATTATCACTGTGTAGGATAATGGTTTACCCTTGAACAGAATCTGAGGATCAATTCCTCCTCCACTTCTCCACATTTTCATTGGACACTGGTTAATTAGTGCATTGTTAGTGACTAATGTAATTGCACAAATACTCTGAAAAAGGCCATCCAACACAGAGCACAGGGGCAAGAAAGTACCTTACTTCTTCACACATTAAAATTTCTACTGTATAAGGTAGAAAAAAATCGGCCAAAGTTTTTAGCTAAACACATCCTTTTGTTGAGTCGTGCATCCTACAAAGAATGCCTCCCGTAGTTTACCAAGCTCAATTTACCTTTAGAAAAACTCTATCTATACCACGCTCAGAGAATCAAACCTGAAACTACGATGACACACAACTAAACTAACAGGAGCAATACAAAATAGTTGGGGTTGGGTTCTGCTTTGAGCAGGGGGCTGGCGTAGATGACCTGAGGTTCCTTCCAACCCTAATATTCTGATTCTATAAAAATGCTACAAATGTCATATATAGAGCAATTGAAAGGCTGAGGTCAAAGGAATCAATGAGATTGTGAAGAAAATTGTAGTCAATAGGAATAACATACAGGTTGGCTTGATAGATGCTTTCAGATTCTGCCTAGAAAAACTGGTCAACCGTGCACTAATGTAGTTAAGCATACAGGTAACTCCAAAATGACATGTTTATCCTATGCATATTTACGTGTGTCTGAATCAGAATAATGAATGGTACAAGCATGCTCTGTAGCTAAGTGTGCTGGAACATAACTATGCATTATCTAGTTTAACACCTAGAAAGCACATCTCTGTATATGCATGTCTGAATCACAAGTGCGTAACTATTTAGATGGGTCAATAATGAATTGCTTGGATTGTAAAAGACAAAATCTTACTAAAATGCAACTTAAGTGCATAAATACCTTTTGAATCAGGCCCTGGGTAACTGATAGCAATAGTGCATTGCCATGCTCTGTGTAGACTAGTGTTAAGAGGGATGAGAGGTAAGCTTTGCTAGTGTGTTATAAGCCTATTTGCTGACAGCAAAGGGATGGTAAGATTCAGGAATCTTAAGTTTTCTTTCATTGTGTAGAAGAGGCTGTGCTCTAACTGGCATAGACTTGTACCCATGTTCCAAAAATCTCTCTTATGTTCCCCCTCTACTGTGCAAGTCTAAATTTCTTCCCTGGGCTCCTCATTCTAGTGCAACCCATGAGCACCAGGAATAGTCATTACAGGGAAAGTCCTTCTGAGTTTCACTAGCACGGGCATGGAACACATAGAGTCACTGTAGGGATGGCTCATACATGGTTCAGTCGCACATGGGAGTTGTCAGAGGACATAACATGCTCATTTGCTTTGTGGGCATGGTATACATGCAGATCCGTCACATGTAAGATCTACGAAAGTAGGGAGTCTTTCTGTGGAAAATATGCATCTGCAATTCAGTTACCATTAGAAACCATGAGAGGCCTAAGCATGCCGAGTAAGCGTGGAATCAATGGAGATTTCAGCTGCTAAAATCTACATACTCTCTTTTTAACATATGCAAACTGCATTTTTTCAGAGATTTATAACTTGACCAAATTATGGCAGATTTGAGGAGGGTAGCAAGAATACACACCTTTCACACATTCATCTGCCAAAAGCATGTCCATGCTCCAACATAGAAAGGCATTAGCACCATCAAATGAAAACATGTCAAGAATTTTTTTAGTTTGGGGAAACAATGCATCTTTCCTGAACTTCATTCTCAGAAATAATAAACCACAGTGGTGGAAAAGTTTCAAACAAATTCTGCCTGATACACACATCTACTGATGTGCGAAGCTTCGGTCCCTGATTCAATTCGGCAGAGATCAGACCCAATTTGGTGGCCAAATCTCTGAATCCAAATTGAATCAGGAGATCCTTTAATCTCTCTGAATCAAATTGGAACTCTCCGAATCAATTTGGAGAGATTTGGCAATTTGGACATAGACACAACTTTAAATGTTTTTTCTACATACCTTTAGGTACCAGGCAGCTCTTGAATGCTGCAATGCTGGGGCAGATGGAACATCCCACAGAAGTGTGGGGAGTTCCCCAGCGTGCTTGGCAGCAGACCCGGAAGAGGACCAGAAGCACTTCTGGTCCACTTCCGGGTCTGCTGGGGAGTGCTCAGGGGGTCCCCCTGTGCCCCACCCCAGCTCAGTGACTGGTGCCTCCTGGGTCTGGGGGGGCACCCAGGGTCCCCCTGTGGCCAATCGCTGAGCCAGAGGGCCCCCTCACACGCTCTCCAGTGGACCTGGAAGTGGACTGGAAATAATTTAAGTTCACCACCGAGCAAGTGGAAGGCCCCCCGGCGCTCCTGTGGGTTACTCCATCCCCCTACCATCACAGCATTCACAAGCCATGCTGCTACCTCAAGGTATGTAGAAAAAACATTTAAAGCTGTCTCTGTGTCCGAATCGCTGATTCTCCAAATCAGCATTGAAACTTCAGATTTGGATTTGGCCGAATCGAATCAGGGACAATGATCCAAATCAACTAATTGAATCACTGTCCCTGATTTGAGCCGAATCCAAATCTGAATCAAATAGGGCCCACTCTGCATGCCCCTAACATCTAAATATTAGGCAGGCAAGGTTCTTTGGGTAGATGTGATATCTTTTATTAGACCAATTAAATAGAAAAAAATTATTTGCAAGCTTAACACAAGCTTTTGTGCCTGAAAGCTTGCAAAAAACTTTTTTCCATCTATTTAGTTGGTCTAATAAAAGATATCACATCTACCCATGGAACCTTCCCTGCCTATGTCCTTAGACCAACATGACTACTACCAACAGTCCAAATATTAAACATTTGACAAATTTACAAGCAACCAAAAACAGGATCCGAAAGTGTCAGTCAGTTTTTAGTAGTAGGCATTCTTATTAACTTCACCTATATTATTTTCAATGCTTCTTTAGTAAGGTTGCCAATAAGAGTACTGAATATATAATGGGGGCAAAGAAGAGGTTTGCAGTATGAAACCCCCATTAGAAACCACATTAGGAATTTTAATTTGAAAATCAGTATTATCAGCTGCATAAACACAGGAATAAACCAATACAAAGATGCATAATATTAATAACACAACCAGGTATCTGAAGAATACTTACAGAGCAACAAAGAAATTAAGTCTGGTGTGCTCATTTATATTGAAGTTAGCCCTCTTGAAATAAACAAAGGTCATTGCCAAAAGATACTGTTAGAAAAGGTAAAAAAAAATAGAATATTAACATTCTTTGTTTTCAGTATAATATTGCTTAATATATTTTAATTGGTGCATCAAAACAAGACTGTATTTTGTGCATTCCTCCCCAACCAGTAGTTTGTAAATTATGCTGTCCAGAAGCTTCAGTGGAGAAAATGAGAGTACATTATAGAGTGCAGACTATGGTCTATGTTCATGCTATATTATCAAGTGATTAGGGGTAAGACACTCGTTCTAGAAGTAGCCTTTTAACCATGACACCTAGACACCAAATTTACCTTATCTGCAATTTTACAGCAGCAATCCATCCATAAGAAGTCTTGAATTAGATCATCATCTGCAACAAAAGATAGTTGTGAATTTCAGTTGATAAAATTAACTATTTTTCTAAAGAGACATTTTTTTACAGACACATATAGAAAAGTTTTTAGGGTTTTTTTGTTTTTCTCTTTTTTTTTAATCAAGCCTAATAAAGGAAATTTTCTTGATTTGAATAAAATGAAAAAGGAGATGATGACAGGAGAAAGGGGTTAGCAGTGGAGAAAGTCCCAATAATAGGAGAGAAATCATAACACATGCAAAGCAGAAAACACAAAGAACTCCATTCATAGTTAACGTGAGTTACTAGAGGGCTGCTGAACACCATTGCATGATATTCTCCCCTCTTCATTTATTTAATTTACTGCACCTACGTGGTTGTATTTAATTTAAATTAACGCGGCACCTGTATTTCTGACTAACCATACAGGCATGAGAATTCTTGCATTTTGATTGTCTGGAAGCCTTTATTAGGCTGTAAGTATTAAGGTATTTGCATAATTAAGGGTATAGCTCCCGATAATTATCCTATGATGATGAAGACTGACTATATTTGGGTACTGTAAATTCTCTGTTTTAATTGATTTCTGTACTCAGAATTTTTAGGAACAAAAAGAGCCTCCTGCTATTTTTCTGTCCCTTTATTTGGAGCACAAAAACTATAAAAATGTATACAACAGAAATGAAAACTCTAGTAGCTCCTAAACTCTTTTGCATGTTTTCTCTTCATTGGTTTCCCTTCCTGAATGATCATTTCCACAATAATGTATTTTCTTCCATTGTTGAGAAATTCAGCCTCTTTCAAATCTATTTTGAAATGTAATGCAATATAAATATATACTTTATATACAAAAAGAGCATTGGTAATCTATAGGGCCTGATAGTGATGAAAGAGGAAAGGAGGAGAGAAAGGGAATGATGACAGCAGAAGGAAAAAGTAATTTGCTTATGTTTTTAAAATCAAATATGTATCTTTCAGTATTTTTGTAACACTTTTTATATTTTGTTTTAATTTAAAAGGTACATATTTGAACGTTGAAGTATAACAACAGGTTCTAACAGAGAACTGGAAGCTTTTAAACTAATTGAGAAATATCTTTCCATCATTTCAATTTAGTGGTGTGAGTTCTCTGGCCTTAGAGTTTCTTCAAAACAAGTTATGCTTGCTAGTATATACAGAAGAAGACACTCAAATTACTATTGCATTTAAAAAGCCAAAGCTGCTTATATAGCATATCTGAAATCTCAATTTGCATAATTTTACTTAAAATATATAATCGTTAGCTTACCAAACAGTTTAAAGAAAGCAGTCATCTCCTGACGCTGAATTACTAAACATGGACCTTTTGGACGTTTACATTTATTACCATGCACATGGTTTTCACAGCTTTCTTGACTGTCTTTAAAAATAGGACGTTTTAGACATACAGGGTTTTTTTGTTGATGTGACCTGGATGCACTTGATTTTATATAAACAGTGACAGTGGGAGGTGTCTGACAAATTAGATTTTGTCTCATTTTGGATAATCAGGTCCCTGTTAAAATAAAAAAGTAAAATATTAACTATATAGATAATATAGCATGAATCTTTTTTCTATAGTCACATTGGTATAATGAGAAACCATACATATAATTAAAAAGTGTATACATAGTTATACTGCAAACTCTGTCTTTGTAACTGTTTTATTTGCTACAGATATTTTCAGATATGTCTTATATGCAAGTTCTTATACAAAATAGGAAATTGTACCAAGATAGTTTTCCATGCTACAAAAGCACTGTCATGTGAGCAGTCCTATTTAACTTAACATGGAAATTCAAAAGTATAAAGTTACCCATGTATATCTGTGGCATGACTGGGGCCACAGTAGTATTTCTCAGATGAGCAGTATAGTATATATGCCCTGTTTCCCTTTTTTCCTGTTTCTCAATTAGTATGATCATCTTCAACTTGTGAATAAAATAATTAAAAACGATCCACATTAAAATGTCTTCTGAATTTTTTGAATATGTACAGTTTTAAAATAAGCATTTTTTCCTCTACAAGTAAACTGCATTGAGCTGTTCAGTTGTTGATTTTACTAGATAAACAGCATATGTGCTAAAGATCAAAATTGGGAACTTAGATTGATAAAACTAATATTGTTATTACTACACATCTAATACCCTTACATTATTATCTAATAATATTATGAAATGATTTAATAATATTAAATGCTGTAATAATTGCTAATGAATTCTTGCTATATAATAAGTTGTATATAGATTTGTCAATAGAGTTTGCTGATGGAAGAAATTAGATATGATTATCAGAAGCACTTCAGATATTGAAACCTTTTTAAAAATCCTCTTCAAGTATTGTTCCAAATAAAGTATAATAAACAAAATCTCCATTGTTATCAGAAATACTTAAAATTTGTCAGAGCTTCCTTCAGAGAAGGCCACTTTTTGCAAGTAGAAGAGGACAACTCAGTCCCTCGGCTTTTCTGCTATGGCTGCAAATACAGGGCCAGTGGTGAAGTTTTTTTGCCCAAACAGAATACAGGCAGAGATCGGTAATTTGTCTTGCACAGACCAATAAGCTTTCCAGTTGGAGGTTACTTAACCAAACAAACGACTGAAGGCAAAACTCCATATGACCTATTACTCTTTCGAGCCATCTTGCTCCTCACATTAATGGCAGAAGGCAACACAGGGTGGCACCTTAAAGATTAATTTATTCAGAAAGGCATAGGCTTCTGCAGGCAACCAGTGATATTAAGATGCCACCGTGCCCTGCAGTCTGCCTGACTTCAGACTAACACTGCTAGCTACTTTTCTCCATTAATAATGAGAAGAAAACAAAAACAATTTCACCTCCCAAAAGTCACAGGTCCTTGTAAAACATCTAAGTCTGTGTGTTTTATCAAAAGTACTTTGAATTTCTATCATTTCATCCAAGGCTCATCCAAGCACTTAATACCTTTTGAAGTAAGCAATGGCAAAATAACCTGAGCCTAAGATCCTGTTTTATTTTTATGTGCATTTTTTTTATGTAGACAGGACCTGACTTTAGATAAAGCTTCCTCTCAAAGAGAAAGAGTCTTTATCTATTTTCTTTATTCATTCAGAATTTCCAGAAAATGCTGCATTAGACAAGTTCACAGTCCCTTCATTAAAGTCGACAGTAATCAAAGGAATCTTAATTCTTAACTTCCTACTCACAATTTGCATTTACAAAACCCACAGATTAAATTATTGGGAATTTTAACAGAGGTATAATTAAATCCAATCACAAAATAATGCTAGAGTAACTCAGAGGTCCTGAACTGGTTTTGTAACATTTGTTATGAACTATATAAGCTGGAGGGAGGAAACTCCCCATTAAATAAGAGAAACTATAGAGCCAGAACCAAAGAAATCAAGCTTTTAGATAAGAAGTGGTGCCATACAATTTTCAGCATTGAAAACATGCCAAAGGGATCTCAAGAAGAGTCTCTTGTTCAGGGGAGGGGTCAGTTCCTGTGAAAGGAAAGGTTTTTGGGAGGGTGGGAGGGGAAGGCGTTGTAATCACCACAGTATAACAAAGAAAGGGCTGTTACTCAAGAGTGGAGCTGCAGAGGAAGCCATGTTTGAATCAAAAACACAAGGGGAGGGAAGTATCCTTTTGAGCAGGGACTAATGTCCAAAAGATTATCCACCCTGCAAGAATCATCCTGCACCTTTTGAATTAACCCCAACAAAGAAGAGGGATTTCTTAGAGGAATAGTTTCTGTAGGCCCAAAATAAAGTTTAGGCACTGTAAGGCCCATATCCAGGGGGCCCCACTCTTAGAGAGAGAGACACTGTGCGATTGCATCAGAATCGGGGGGGGGGGGTGCAGATAAGCCTGTGACCCAACTGTTCCTGATGCAGTGAGATACGTGGAGTCTGCAGAAAGCCTGAGACAACCTCTCAGAGCGGTGCCAGTGTCCCTGTCTCAAAGGGCCACAAACGTCAAGACCCCCTGTGGCCTGGAGAGCTCTGCCAATGCCAACCCAGCAGCAGGATCTGTCTGGGGCAAGAGGAGGGGGGCACAGCAAGGAGGGTATGACCTCTCTCTCCCACCCCAGCCCCTCTGGAAGGGCCTCCTGTCCTGACAACCTCCAGCCATGGTGGGGTGGCAGGATTGGGGGCCGTCCCATGCTCTGCCCAAGGCTGTTATCAGTCTTGGACTGAGTTTGTCGGGTGGGGGGAGCAGCTTCTTGGAGATGTTACTACTGAGTGGGGGGTGGGGGCATTGGCGTGCCCACAGGAATGCTGATGGGGGCTGGGCAGCTTTTTGGGAGGCAGGGCCGGTGCCTCACTTATAGGGGAATTTTGTGCTACATGGGGCATCCCTGCCTGGGCAGCAGCAAAGGGCAGCACAGATTCAGGGTTAATGACTACCTCAGGCTGGGTGCTGGGGAGGGGAGGAGAGGGAGCTGATGGGCAGATTTGGCAGCTGCCAGCACCGCTGCCTCAGGCCAATGCCTCCCAGTGCCCCATCCCCACCCCTTTTATAGCCAACCAGGGCAGAGGCGGGAGCAGCCTCAGCCAATCAGAGTGTTAGGAACTCACTCCCCCCCCCCTTCCCCCCCAGCCTAAGGCATCAGGCGAGTTGATTCCCCTCAGGCCATGTCCTGGGAGGTGCGGGGGAGGGGAGAGGCCAGCCTCACCCAATCAGAAAGGAGACTGCCCTGTTGCTAGGCAGGATAGGCAAATGAGGTGGGCTCTGGGGTGAGTCAGGGACCAGCACCCAGCTTTCCTCTCACTGGTGCTGAAGCAGCATCCCACCTGCATCCTGCCTGCTGAGCCCGGGGCACCAGGACCCTTCCAGCTGCTCCCTCTGGGCCTCTCCCTAGCAGTGTTGCTAAGTCTTGCAAGACGGAGAGAAAAAAAAAGCAGCACTACTTTTAAAAAGCAGCCCAACCCATGTTAAAGAGAGGGGAGTGGGGGTGCTTATCAAGCCACAACTCTCAAAAAATTAAAGGGACTTAAAAAAAAAAACCCAAACAAGCCCAGTTCTGCTTATTATAAGCTGACTTGGCAACACTGCTCCTCCCCAGCACTCTGTGACTCCAGCAGGGCACAGCGCCTCCAGGGCTGCTGGGGTGTGGAGACGGGAAGGGAGGGGAAAGGCGACCAGCAAGAGGCTAGGTTAGAGTCACAGAGAGGCAGGGCTGGAAGGGACCTCCAGGGGTCATCTAGTCTAGCGTTTCCCAACCCGAGGGGCAAGACCCAACAGTGGGTTACAAGGATATATGAAATGGTCGGGAACCAACTTTTAAAATGGATCAGCAAACTTTTAAAAATGGATTCTCCTTTAAAGGAGAAACGTGTGGGAACCTGTGGCTTTTCCCTTGCAGACTGGCCTCATTGCAACCTGCAGGGGGCTGCTTGGGGACCTCCTGCCCCACAGCCCCTCCTGCCCCCACACTGGGGGGCTGGGGGTGGAGGGCAGTGGGTCAGGAGTGAGGGGCACTGGGTGGGGACTGGCCGTTGATGTTTACAAATGGGTCCTGCTACAAAAAAGGTTGAGAAGCACTGGTCTAATCCAATCCTCTGCTGGAGGCAGGATCATCCCTATGCAAGCTATCCCATACAAACTATCACAACTCCATTGTGGGGAAAAGACCACTAAAGGTGAGGTGAGATATAAGGTGTACTGCTAGGGGAACAGGAAGGGACAGAGAAAGGAGGAGCGGAGGGACCCAGGAGTGGGAATCTGAGGCAAGGAGGGTTAGAAGACAGAAGCTACAGAAAAGATAGAAAGCTGAAAGTCCCATGGTGACAACCACCACCACCCACCACTTCCTCTTTATGGCAGTGGTCTTGATCCTCCCCACCTTGGGGATTCATGGCCTGGCTTCTCTTACCAATGAAATGTGCTCTTCCTCCTCAGTTGCTAGTGCTCCAGATCTGTTTCCAAGCAAATCTCGGCAGGTGGGGATGACAACAACTTCTTGCTGTCTGAGGTCACAAGCTTCCAGCTTCCACCTTCCTGGGAGTCCATGCCTTTTTCCTTTTCTAGCACCACCTTTCTTTCTCCAGTCCTAGAGGTTTCCTCCAGCATGGAATCAATGAAGTCCTCCTGGTGGAGGATGCTTTGGAGCCTTGCTACCTCCTCTTGTAGCTGTCTTGCCTGCTTCCTGAGGGACTCCACCAGAAGGCACCACTCACATTGCAGGCACTCCCCCACCTGGCCATCACTAGAAGGAACCTGCAAGCTGCAGTCTGCACAGTACCAAACCAGGACCTAGGTGAAAGCCTCAATGGTGTGTGATTCTGCCTGGACAGACATCTCACAGGTGCAAGCAGAGGAAGAGCCGGAAGTAGCAGTGGCTTTCAGATTGTGACATCCTCCAGCCATCTCTCTGGGTCTCTCTCACTTCCTGCCTCTCTTTCCAAGCAGACCTTCCCTAGCAAACTCCTCTGTAGCAGGTCTGTTTGCTGTTCCTTGATCTGAAGGGTTGCCTTTTTCCTGCAAACCTCTTTCCTCTCAGCAAGCTTATAGTGAAAGAAAGTGAGAGAGAGAGTTTCCAAGCAAACTCCTTAGCAAATTTCCCTTTGCTCTGGACTCTAGTTAAACAAGGGGCATAAGTATTGGTCTAATTTCTGAGTTTTAGCTGCTTAAAATAAAACTATGTAGGTTAGTCAGTCTTAATTACATATTAAAAAAAAGAAAGAAAAAAATCTTATAGGCTCTTCTTCAAAGAGGAACTGACTTAAGAACTGCTTGCAAACTGTCTTGTTGGCTCTCCCTGTTCGCTGCTCCCCTAGTCGCTTGGACTGTCTCCTTATATACCTCTCTTGGGTAGTAGGCCTGTGCGAGTAGGCAGCTACTATTCAATCCGGCTTCGGATCCGGCCGCTTCAGATGCCAGGGATCTGATCCAGAGCT